AAATTGAGCGAATTAACATTACAAATATTAAAATAACACAAGGGCCAAGATATATAGATTGTCTATATAATTTGCTAAAATTAAAAGACAAAAATAAAAATTCTAGGCATTTTTTAAAAAAAAAAAAAAATTAACCACAAGAATGACCTTTGCAATTAGACTCTAAATCGATACTACAGAGGTCACTCTTAAGTGATCCTACACAGCAAAACTATTTAACCATATAGTATTAAGTCCTAGACTCGCAATCAAGCAGATCTTCGAACTCATACTCTTAATACTAGATATGGCTCACCCAAATTTAAAAAAATATGTCCTATCAACTAGGGACGGACCTAGGATTTGATCATTGGGGGGCCAAAAATAAATAAATAAATAAAGATGAAAGACATGTAAGGTTGAATTTAAAGGCAATAGATTTTTATGCAATTAACACTTGTGATTTTTCATGTTATTAATTGAAAATGGATAAACTTTGTTAAATATTTGATATAACAGTAATATCACTAATCAATGAGAATTCTTACATTATGGTAGTGAAAAATAATGATTGGCATAGTGAGAGACAAAAATTGTCAATCAAATTTTATTAATCATTTTTTATCGGTTGGGACACTACCATTCTCACTTAAGCCATCCATGTTTTATAAAATGAATAATATAATTACAAATATATTTTAGAACATAATATGTTAGGGAATTGTTGTTTGATAACTTTCAATTTTGGCCAAAAAGTCACTATAAATTATCACATCAACCTCTCTACTTTTTTACATATTTTTTCTTTAAAAACTAAAAAATTACTAAAATATCATGTTCACAAACGAGACTGCATATACACGTTATCAAAATATATGTAACATAACCATAACAAATTGTAAATTTTCACCACATAGTTCGCAACATTTTGCACGACAATGATTTGTAATATTTACACTATACCATTCATAACATAACTGCAATAATTCATAAATTTTACTTTAGAAATACCCACTATTAGGGCTGTAAAAATGGCCCGCAACCTGTGGGTGGCCCGAAACCCACCCGCGGCTCGGGATGGGTCCAACCCCATTTGGTCCAGGCCCCAGCCCAGCCTGGGACCCTGAGCCTGGGCCGTCATTTTGAAACCCAGACCACCTAACCCGACTCATCGGCTCGCTCAAGACCTAGTGTCATTTTTAGTAGAAAAAAAAATTTGATAGAAAAATAGAAAAAAAAAAAATTTTAAATGTTCTGGCCCACCCCGCCCAAGACTCGAATATTCCTAGGCATGTGTATAACTTTTTGGCTCGTGACTTGAATTTTGGTTGGAACCAAATGGCCTAACATGGGTCGAACCCAATTTACACCCCTACCCATTATAAATTCAACTTTATCACAAAATAATACTACAAGTATTTTAACTTTTCATTACAAAAATTTATAGAGCATTCTATTATTATATTATAAAGAGATGTTAAAAAAAATATTTTTTTGATCGGCAAACAGAACTTTATTGATGGAAAGGGAAGATTACATCAATAAAGAGGAGCTTGGAGCTAAAACAAGCTCCAACCTCCTAGTTGGTGAGAAACCAACTCGCAAAACAAAGCGAAAAAACCAGAAAAATACATCAGACAGATCAGTCAGCCAATAAGTCACACACAGCAGAGCAAACACAGCAGAAGTCACACACAGCAGCCTAAGGGACGACACACACAGCAAGCCGAAGTATAAAAAACACAGCAGAAACCAACTGCTGCAGTGCACAAATCTATAAAAACCCAGCAAGCCGAAGTATACTTCCCAAACACACCAGCAGAAACAATACACTTCACTGAACCGAGCAGCATACATAGCAGAGACAGAGCAAAATTTAGCAGGACCCCGCAGAACTGTTGCTTTGAGGCCGTACTGCTGCATCCCAAAAGAAAAAGAAAAACTCCAGACCTTCAACCTACTCCTCTTTGACAAAACTTGATTTGTTGAAAGTTATACAAAAAATCATTGATCGAAAAGGGCAGCTTCACATCAGCCGCTCGAATCCACATAGCAGTCCTGGTTTTGATTAGATCACACAGACTAAACAGGTCAGGTTGCACCTCAGTAAACAACACCTCATTCCTGTGTTTCCAAATAGACCACAAGGTAGCAATAGGTATCACATTCCATACGTTTCTCTCAAAGCTATTACCTGAAAAACCAGCCCAAAATTGTAAAACTCCATACACTGTTGCTGGCATGACCCACTGAGATCCCCACCATAAAAATATATCAGCCCACACCCGCCAAACAAAAGGACACCACAACAAAACATGATTAACCGACTCTGCTTCAGCTTTGCAAAACACACATTGAGTATTAGCAGCAGCCGGAATGACACCAATCCATTGTAGGTAAGAGGACGTTTTTAACCTTTGCCGCCAAGCTAACCACACAAAAGCTTTTGCTCTCGGGATAGATACGTTCTGCCAAATCATCTTAGAGATTGTACCAAAATCTATAGATTGTAGGCTGTGTTCACACCACCTATAGACAGATGATACACTGAAACACCCCGATGTTTCAGCCCCCCAACATAACACATCTACCTTATCAACTCTTAACTCCGGAGTGTTATTTACCAAATTGACCAAACGAACCACCTCTTCCTTCTCCCAATCTCGGAGCATTCTATTGAAGCTTACCTCCCAGTCATGTAAGCTCCTTCTTAGTTCAACCACCTGTTTAATTGTTTTCAGCTTATCAGGAGAGATACGATACAATCGAGGAAACTCATCCTTTAAACATCTAACAGTGGCCCACTTATCCTCCCAAAACAAAGTTCTATCCCCATTGCCCACCAATATGCAAGTATTCCTAACAAAGAAACTGTGCAAAGCAGGGGTGGAAGTTGCCACTGAGATAATATCCTTCCATACCCGGGAGTGCATCGGGGTGGTTTCCGTAGTTGGATACCACTTGCTGCCCTGGATGTTATATTTCCCACATAAAACTCTCTTCCACAACAACTTTTCATCACCGCCAAACCTCCACCACCACTTAAGTAGCAAGCATGCGTTCACATCCCTAAGACTCTTGATGCCTAGCCCTCCTTTAATAACACTTTTAGTAACTTCAGACCATTTAACCATGTGAATCTTGCTCTTAATGACGGATCCACCCCATAGAAAAGCAGCTTGAATTTTGTCTAGCTCTTTAGCGACTCCTTCAGGCATCTTAAATAAGGAGAGGTAATATACCGGGAGGCTAGATAAAACTGCTTTGATAAGAGTTAGTCGCCCTGCAAGAGATAAAAACCTTCTTTTCCAACTGGCCAGCTTAACTTTGACTCGATCCACAACAGGCTTCCAAGTCTTTAACCTTCCTGGATTGGCCCCAAGAGGCATCCCAAGATACTTAAATGGAAGTTTTTGACACTTACAATTTAGCCTATCGGCGATTTCCTCCAACCAAGCATCTTGAACTCCAATGCCAGAAATCACACTCTTATGATAATTGATCCGGAGTCCAGACATCACTTCAAAGCATCTAAGAATCCTTTTAATATTCACCACTACCTCTCATTTTGCCTCACAAAATATAATAGAATCATCCGCAAACTGAAGATGGGATACTGACACCTCATTCGCCCCAAGAACAGCACCCTTGAATAGATTTAACTCCCTAGCCCTGGTCAACAAGATGTTAAGGCCCTCAGCTACCATATTAAAAAGGAAAGGGAAGAGAGGATCCCCTTGTCTAAGGCCTCGAGATGGGCGAAACTCCGATGTGGGGGAACCATTCACAAGAACTGAGACTCGAGTATTCGATATACACTCCTGCACCCAAGTCAGCCATTTTTCTCCAAAGCCAAAATTCTTCATCATAGATAGCAGAAAGGACCAATTAACTGAGTCATAAGCCTTTTGGAAATCAAGTTTCAGTACAATACCTCGCTTTTTAGTCTTCTTCCACCAGTCAACAATTTCATTGGCAATTAAGATCCCATCTAGGATACTTCTACCACCCACAAACGCTGACTGTTCTTCACTAATAATTCTAGGCATCACCATCTTTAACCGGTTAGCCAAAACCTTAGAGAGAATCTTGTAGACAGACCCGATTAAACTAATCGGTCGGTAATCCCCAAGGCTAATAGGATTGTCCTTTTTAGGCACTAAAGTAATGAAAGAACTGTTAATCCCACCCACCAATTTCCCATACCGATGGAAGTCCTGCATAAATTGGATTACCTCTTTCTTCAAAACCTTCCAACATTTCTGAAAAAACAACATATTAAATCCATCCGGCCCCGGAGCTTTATTACCATCACAACTTCTCACTGCTGCCCAAATTTCTGCCTCAGAAAATTCGGCCTCAATGTGTTCCACTGCTGCTATGTTACCAATAGATTTGAAACTTCCCACCAATTTTGGCCTTGAACTCCACACTTCCATGAAATCTTCATGCTTCACTCGGACTGGCTCATCATAGACAATTCCATCAAATTTCAAAGAGCCAATAACATTTCTATTCTGTCTGCAGCTTGCCATAACGTGAAAAAATCTGGTATTTTTATCCCCTTTGAGCGCCCAATTTTGCCTTGATTTTTGAAGCCAAATCCATTCTTGCATTTTACTTAATTTCCACACCTCGTCTCTAATTTCCCTTCTACTCAACTCCTCCCCATTAGATAGCTCTCTAGTTTCAGTTAACAAATCAAATTCATGTAATTTCTCCTCTGCACGATGTAATTTCACAGATATTGCTCCAAACACTTCACTGTTCCATCGCTTCAAAACTTGTTTAAGTAGCTGAAGTTTTTTGTGCATAACAAAACCACCCCACCCAGTTTAAGTGTTAAACCAATTCTATGCATCACAACCAAGCTTCTTTCACAAAAGGGGGGCCACGGTCCCTGTAGACCTACACTACGTTCCGTGCCTGCAACCGCATGTAGTGTAACCAGAATAACTAGCCCGAGGAAAGTTCGAGTTTATATACCCAAGCCTTCACAAGTCTACCGTAGCCGTTGGGTTCTAGGCATTTCTAGCAGATTGGCTTTGAATAAAGTCCCTGACCTCTGCAATTAGGTACCAAAGTTGGGGCAATTCAGGAAAGATATAGAAGCCATGGATAGCGTTTGGATACCTAATCAACTTCACTTGCTTCCCTGATTTCTTTAACCCCTCAACGTACCTCCTCTGCCAGTCCTGTAACGGATCACCACCGCCAACCACCACCAACGTCGCCGGAAACTTCACCACCTTCGACACATCACCACCACTCACCGCCTCATGGTTTCGGTCTGATCCTATTGGCAAAAACAACCTCCACATCCAGTCGATTCGTTTCACATTCAGAAATGGACCTCTACTGAGCCGGAGTATCGATTCACTGCGCTCTTCTCCACCGAAGAATGGATGTATCTCCACCAAACCAATAATACCCAGCTTCTCAAACTCGTGTCGGCCGTATCTGACCGCCACGTGGTGGGCTATGTTGCCGCCGGCGCTGTTGGCCGCGAGAAAACAATGGTTGAGATCAATGTTGGAGGGTAATACGACGTAGTTATGGGCGTCGATGAATTTGAGGGTTTCAAAACCATCGTTGTATTGGGAAGGGTAGCAGTGGTTGGCGGCGAGGCAGTAGTTGACGGAGGCGACGTTGACTTGGAGTTGAGCGGCGACGATGAATCGCTATTCCAAATTTTCCCTAAACCTAATTCTATTTGTCTTGGAAAACATTTTTCTTCTATAAACGGGTATTTCTAAACTCGAATTTGGTGATCTCAATTATTGTGTTTTCATAGAAAAATATACTTTCTCTTTAGAGAGTTGAATTTGATAAATTCATAAAATACTTTACATTCTTACATTGTTTGTTGTAGACTTTTGGAAAATTAGGTGATCGGAGCCGTTCGTGAATAGAGATTGTAGCTAAAATTTCATGAAATCCTGAAGATCAAGAAGGCTGACTGGGGCAAGTTGTGCTCGTAGGAATTACTACAAAATATCATATTAGGTAAACCTAGGTAAAAGTTATAAGTACTTTCGACTTTGTATTTGTATTCTTTGATCATAGTGGATTTTCTCTGAGTGTTGGGATCGTGATTTTTTACCCAGTTGGGTTTTTCATGTAAAATCTTGTGTTCATGTGTTGATTTTTTTTTACTTGATTTAATTTGTTTAATCAACTTATTTGAACTTAAAATTGATAATTTTAATTTATTGGCCTATTCAGCCCCTCTAGGCACTGAATATTCAGATTATGTAATTTAATTAGAGTTTAAGCTGACAAAATTATGAAGGTTAAATTTTATTTTATTTTTATAATTTCCTGTATTTTTTTAAAAATGATTTCTTAACGAAAATTCGAGAACTTTTTATTCCCACTCATTCGCATGTGGCGCCATTACCGATTCATGTCACAATAGTTCCACCCAGAAAAATTTGAATGCAACTAATCAAAATAAATAAATAAATGAACTATATTGGTAGTCCTCGAATCTTGTCATTCATGTTATTTTAATCTTTGTAATTTTAATTAACTTAATTTTGATCTTTAATTTTTAATTGTATTTCAATTTAATTCAATTGATAACACCCATTAGGGTTTTTAAGAGAAATGATCACTGAATTAATTGAGATTAATTCAACGAGTTAAATAGGTTTCTAATTTTGTCTATAAGAACATAACATATTACGCTTACCTATGCATTTCTCATATATGTATATATATATATATATATATAAACTAACAATTGTAATGAATTAGACTAAATTGAGATAAAATCATAAATTGAAAATCAAAATCGAGCGAATTAACATTACAAAAATTAAAATAACACAAGGGCCAAGATATAAGGATTGTCGGTATAATTTGCTAAAACTAAAAAATAAAAATAAAAATTCAAGGCATTTCTATTAAAAAAAAATGTTAACCACAGGAGTAACCTTTGTGATTAGACTCTAAACTGATACTACAGAGGTCACTCTTAAGTGGTCCTACACAGCAAAACTATTTAACCATATAACTGTAAGTCCCAGATTCGCAATCAAGCAGATCTTCGAACTCATACTCTTAATACTGGATATGACTTGCCCAAATTTTAAAAAATTCACCCTATCAACTAGGACAGGCCTAGGATTTGATCATTGGGGGCCAAAAAAAATAAATAAATAAAGATGGAAAGACATGTAAGGTTGGGTTTAAAGGCAATAGATTTTCATATTTTCATGTTATTAATTGAAAATAGATAAACTTTGTTAAATATTTGATAGAACCGTAATATCACTAATCAATAAGAATTTTTACATTACGGTAGTGAAAGATAATGATTGGCTTAGTGAGAGACAAAAATTGTCACTCTAATTTTATTAATCATTTTTTATTAGTTGAGACACTACAATTCTCACTTAAACCCTCCATGTTTTATAAAGTGAATAATGTAATTACAAATATATTTTAGAACATAATATGTTAGGGAGTTGTCATTTGATAACTTTCAATTTTGGCCAAAAAGTCACTATAAGTTATCACATCACTCTCTCTACTTTTTTACACATCTTTTCGTAAAAAATCAAAAAATTACTAACCATAACAAATTGTAATTTTTCACAACATTTTGCACGACAATGGTTTGTAATATTTACATTATACCATTCATAACATAACTGCAATAATTCATAAATTTCACTTTAGAAATATCCACTATTAGGGCTGTAAAAATGGCCCGCGGCCTGTGGGTGACCCGAAACCCACCCGCGGCTCGGGGTGGGTCCAACCCAATTAGGTTTGGGCCCCAGCCTAGCCTAGGACCCTAGGCCTGGGCCGTCATTTTGAAACTCGGACCACCTAACCCGACTCATCGGCTCGCTCAAGACCTAGTGTCATTTTTAGTAGAAAAGAATAAAATTTTGCTCGGGACGGGTCCAACCTGATTAGGTCTGGGCCCCAGCCTAGCCCAGGACCCTAGGCCTGGGTCGTCATTTTGAAACCCGGACCCCCTAACCCGACTCATCGGCTCACTCAAGACCTAGTGTAATTTTTACTAGAAAAGAATAAAATTTTGATAGAAAAACAGAAAAAAAAAAATTTTAAAATGTTCTGGCCCGTCCCGCCCAAGACTCGAATATCCGTGGGCATGTGTATAATTTTTTGGCTCGTGTCTTGAATTTTGGTTGGAACCAGATGGCCTGACATGGGTCGAACTCAATTTACACCCCTACCCATTATAAATTCAACTTTATCACAAAATAATACTACAAGTATTTTAACTTTTCATTACAAAAATTTATATAGCATTCTACTATTAGTCTATTATATTATAAAGTGATGTTATGTTAACAAAAATATTAAGAACATGAGAATTAAATGAGAGAGGAGTCTACGTAAGAGAAGAAGTTACTCATGTTAAACCAATTCTATGCATCACAACCAAGCTTCTTTCACAAAAGGGGGGCCACGGTCCCTGTAGACCTACACTACGTTCCGTGCCTGCTACCGCATGTAGTGTAACCAGAATAACTAGCCCGAGGAAAGTTCGAGTTTATATACCCAAGCCTTAACAAGTCTGCAGTAGCCGTTGGGTTCTAGGCATTTCTAGCAGATTGGCTTTGAATAAAGTCCCTGACCTCTGCAATTAGGTACCAAAGTTGGGGCAATTCAGGAAAGATATAGAAGCCATGGATGGCGTTTGGATACTCAATCAACTTCACTTCCTTCCCTGATTTCTTCAACCCTTCAACGTACCTCCTCTGCCAGTCCTGTAACGGATCACCACCGCCAACCACCACCAACGTCGCCGGAAACTTCACCACCTCCGACACATCACCACCACTCACCGCCTCATGGTTTCGGTCCGATCCTATTGGCAAAAACAACCTCCACATCCAGTCGGTTCGTTTCACATTCAGAAATGGAGCTCTACTGAGCCGGAGTTCCGATTCACTGCGCTCTTCTCCACCGAAGAACGGCTGTATCTCCACCAAACCAATAATACTCAGCTTCTCAAACTCGTGTCGGCCGTATCTGACCGCCACGTGGTGGGCTATGTTGCCGCCGGCGCTGTCGCCGGCGAGAAAACAACGGTTGAGATCAATGTTGGAGGGTAATACGGCGTAGTTATGGGCGTCGATAAATTTGAGGGTTTCAAAACCGTCGTCGTATTGGGAAGGGTAGCGGTGGTTGGGGGCGAGGCGGTAGTTGACGGAGGCGACGGTGACTTGGAGTTGAGCGGCGAGGTTGCGGCAGAGATGCTCGTAGATTTTGGAATTGGCGGCGGAGGTGATGAATCCGCCGCCGTGGAAGTAGATGAGTAGAGGGAGGAGGGTGGTGGTGGTGGTGGTGGTGGTGGTGGAGGGGGGAAGGTAGAGGCGGAACCAGAGATTGCGGGAAGGGTCGACGTTGATGTCGGAGGAGGAGACTCCATTGATGGGTTTGGAGGAGGGTGGAGATTTGAGGTCAACGTTGCGGAGGAAGCGGAGGATGAGGTGGGATAGACGACAGGCGTCGAGTATGAAAGAACCGAAGTGGACAAATAGGCGTGTCCTCCATGGAAGCTCAGCAGCAACAGCAGCACCACATGAATTGTGTTTAACGCCCATTCCTCAATCCTGCCTCCTCCACACAATGATGTAAAGTGATTTTTTATGTGACCACTGCCAGAGGAAGACGGGCAAATCCAAATGAAAGGTCAATTATATATGGAGATGGTTACTTCCTTATTTATTCATATATATATATATATATATATATTACTCATAATAGTGATATGGACTATTCATCTCTTAATAAAAATTATCTGTGCAAAATATTAATTTCAACACATATTGATAAATAAATAAACAAATCACATTTTGTTTTATAGAATAAATAATTGTAGTTTCATTCATTTCAAAAATAAGATTAATTTATGCATATGTCTAGTGACATTTGATAAAAATTAATTTTTTTGTACAATTAATCTTTATTGTTGAACTTACGAAATAAATAGTTTAAATCATTAATATGAATTTAAGATAAGACCCACAAAATAATGTATAAAATGATATAATAGATAGTGATATAGAAATGAGTTATTCTCATTATACATTGGTTCCTCTTCATTCCAAAATAACTGATGATGAGCCCAATCAAAAATAAGAGAGAATTTAGAGAGAGATATCTCAATTAATTAATATTCATATAAAAAAACTTAGTTACAAAATGATTATACCTCTTTTAGATATAGTCTACAATTTCCCTCCACTAGCTATCATTGAAATGCACAGTCTCCCACTCAAAAGAACTTTTTCTCCCGTGAAGACAAACAAAACACGGCAGCATCGCGAGCGGATCCTCTAGAGTTAATTCTCTAGAGTGATCTCCTAAAGTAGTTGATCGAACGGCTCAGAATCAAACTCACCAAAACGACGTCGTTTTGGTGAAAAAAAAAAAAAAAAAAAAAAAAAAATTGAGATTTTTTGAAGCTTTTTTTGCAAATCAACAATGGCTTCCATTTATCATCATCATCACAACCCAACAACCCAAATCAAAAAAAATCAAATTTTTTGAAGCTTTTTTTGCAGATCAACAATGGGATGCGGAAGTTTCGAGCTCCGATGCACTCCATTGGGATTGATTTTCTGGCTCTGGTTTTACAACCTTGGCTCTGTAGCCATTAATGCGCTTTGAAGCTTTAGGAATTGGAAATGCAGAGAGTGCTGGGACTGTAGCGATGACGAACCCTTTGCTTTCTCTCTCTACTCTCTCTCTTCTTCTTCTCTCTCTGTGTCTCTAGTTAATCTGATTTGGGTTGTTGGGTTGTGATGATGATGATAAATGGAAGCCATTGTTGATCTGCAAAAAAAACTTCAAAAAATCTGAATTTTTTTTTTTTTTCAAAATACTCACCAAAACGACGTCGTTTTGGTGAGTTTGATTCTGAGCCGTTCGATCAACTACTTTAGGAGATCACTCTAGAGAATTAACTCTAGAGGATCCGCTCGCGGCAGCATCACCACATGAACTGTGTTCAACACCCATTCCTGAATCTTGTCTCCTCCACATTATAATGGAAAGTGAATTTTTTATATGTGACCACTAGCAGAAGAAGATCGTCTAGCCCAAATTAAAAGTTAATCATACATAGAAGAGGATAATTTGAATTGAAGGGTGTTATAAAATTATTATGAGTTCTATTTTAGTAATTTAAATAATATATTTTATCATATATTTTAGTCATAAAAAATTAATTTAAATTGATGTCACCACTGACCACCACCAGAAGAACAAGCTGGCAAATCCAAATAAAAGGTCAATTATATACGGGAATGGTTAGTTCCTTATTTATTCATATATATATATATATATATATATATTATCCATAATAATAATATGGACTGTTCATCTCGTAACAAAAATTATAGGTACAAAATATTAATTTCAACGCATATTGATAAATAAATGAACAAATCACATTTTGTTTTATTCATTTATTCAAAAAATAAGTGTAATTTATGCATATGTTTAATAACATTTTAATAAAAATTGATTTTTTTGTACAATTATCCTGTAGGGAGATTTGATGAAAACCCTCCCTATAAGTTTTCAATGGCATAAGGATATTGACAAAGGAAATTCTTGCAAAAGTCCTTTAACATTAGAATATAACATTTTAACCCAAATTACCTTTTTAGTTGATCGAACAAGTTGTCAATTCATGGTAGAGGATATCGATTCTCGATGGTGACTTTGTTCAGCTCCCGGTAATCGATACATAGCCTCATCGTACCATCTTTTTTCTTTACGAACAGTACCGGAGCTCTCCATGGTAAGATACTTGGTCAGATGAGGCCTTTGTCCAGTAGTTCTTTGTAACGCCCTCAAAATAACAACAATAAACCCATCAGATAAGACATGCATTTACATATGAACTAACCATATTCTTTTATTCATTAGAGTTCCATTACTTAAGTATTACATGTTAACATCATAACAAAATGCCCTACGGGCTTACAGCTTTCCAAGTTAACACTTGGTTACAACAAAAGAGTACTAACTCGTTTACACATTAAGCCCTAGGCTTGAAGTTACATGTAATACATCAAAAGTAAAACGACAAAACATGTCCGCCTCTAGCCTCCCAAGCTATGTCCTTGGAGGTGGCATGCTACCTGCACCTGAAAATGATATTCCCATATAGGGTGAGCCACAGCCCAGTAGAAATACCTCCCTATAAGTTTTCAATGGCATAAGGATATTGACAAAGGAAATTCTTGCAAAAGTCCTTTAACATTAGAATATAACATTTTAACCCAAATTACCTTTTTAGTTGATCGAACAAGTTGTCAATTCGTGGTAGAGGATATCGATTCTCGATGGTGACTTTGTTCAGCTCCCGGTAATCGATACATAGCCTCATCGTACCATCTTTTTTCTTTACGAACAGTACCGGAGCTCTCCATGGTAAGATACTTGGTAACTCAATATACAAAGTAAAGAGGATGCAACCTAGATAATAAACAACAGCCAACATCCACGGACACATGTTCGGATCACCGTACAACAAGGGTAAACCCGGGATCGCTATATTCTTGGAGTTGGGTCTTTAGTTCTTTCAATTCTGTCATGGACATACGGTAAAGGGCCTTTGAGATTGGTACTAGGTTCGGTTTCAATGGTGAATTCAATTTATCGGTCAACTGGGGTACTAGGCAGGTCTTCAGGAACTACATCTGGGAATTTTCAAACCACAGGGATTGCATCAAGTGTGGAGGCCTCTTGTTGAGTATTGATCACATAACAGATATAACTACAACAACCTTTTCTTAAAAGTCGTTGGGCTGTCATGAAGGATATAACACATGGAGGGGGAGAGACTCTAGTTTCATCGAAGACAAGCTCGAGTTAGTTTGGTGACTGAAGAAAGACCTTTTTGGCTTCACAATCAACAGAGGCATGGTTGGCAGATAACCAATCCATTCCTAAGATCACATCAAAGGTACTAATGCAAAGGGGAATCAAGTCTACGTGTAAGGTTTCACCTTTTAAGGATACAGTACAAGATTTGTACACATTAGCACTAAGTGCAGAATTACTAGAAGGAAAAGACACAGATAGTATATATCCTAAAGGTTCAGGTGCTGATGTTAACTTGGTAGCAAAGTGTGGTGTTACAAAAGAATGAGTTGAACCAGAGTTAAAGAGAACATGAGCTAAGTGATCACAAACAGAAAGTGTACCTGACATGACATTCTCAGTAACTTTTGAGTTTCCAAGCACCAAGGCAAAAGCTCTTCCTTGGCGTTTTTGGTCCTTTCTCACTCCTGCAGGTACCGCGGGTTTTCGGACCAGTTCAGAGGGGTTGGCTGTAGGACTAGCAAGCTTTGGACAATCTCTCAGTAAGTGGCCAACTTGGCCACATTTAAAGCATGCTCTCATATCTCGATGGCATTGTCCCCAATAAGTCCTCCTACAAGTAGAGCAAGCTAGAATGGTGCCACCTCTAGGATTTGTAGGACCTTAATTGCTTAAACTGGTTGTGCCCATATTTACCCTCTTGGGAGGCGCGACACTGGGTCTTTTGTTATCTCTTTCCCAAAATTGCTTCCTCTAGCTTGGTTCCCTGGAGCGCAAGGCTTTAATCCATTTTTTCGTAATGTATGCTCGATCCACCACCTCCGAATAGGTTGGTAGTTTCAAAACCTCCAGTCTGTCCTTGATTTCAGCATCCAATCCTGCTTCGAATTTCCTGGCTTTTCGAGCTTCGGTGGGGATGATGTATTTCATAAATCGAGCTAGTTGTGTGAACTTACTCTCGTATTCGGCCACCATCATGGTTCCGTGCCTTGGATATATGAATTCTACCGCCTTCTGTTCCCGCAGCAAATCTGGAAAGTATTTTTCATAGAATACCTCCAAGAATCTTGCCCAAGTCACAATATCTTCTTTCTCCGAGGTAAGAAGCCACCATTCTTGTGCATCATCTTTGAAGGTGAACGTGGCAAAGGCTACCTTCTGTCTCTCTGTGCAAGGTAGCATGCGAAAGATTTTCTCCATGTCCCTAACCCAAGCTTCTGCCACTAGTGGGTTTGGACCGCCGATAAACGTGGTGGGTTTCAGATCCTGAAATTGTTTAATCGTGGTCGGTTCTTCTCGTCTCTTTGGTATCCCATTGGTTATGCTGGTTTGCAAAGCCTGCAAAAAGTTGGTGACTGCTCTTTCCATGATTTGCTCCATTGGGATGGTACCGCTGACTGATGATCCGGTATCATTTCCATCATTGGCCATTACTACAAGGTAAAATGATATAAGCGTGACATCACATTGATACAACTTTGATACAACGTCATATATAACGTATTAGTTTTATTAGTTTTACTATCACATTAATATTACCACATTAATACCACATAAAACATCATATATACATCATTGTTACTATACATAAGGCGTTAGTCCAGTCGTCAAGAGTTAACATCTAATCCTACTGATACAAAAATATAAGGATTAGACCAGTCATTGTCAGCTCCAAAAAAAAGATCAGCAACATCTCTCGGTCATGCTCCTAGAATAGGTCACTAAGCCCACACGAAAACTGGCTCTGGAAGACTGGGCCGTGGATTAGCCATGGGAACTCCCGCTGCACAAGGGACTCAAACTCCCATCCACTGAGCTCAATCCCAAAACAGCGCCAAACTACC